ATAAAAAAATTATTCGTAAAACAAATTGACCAAAATTTTTGGAAGGTATTTTGAACAATTTTTTCAAGTAAAATATTTTTTTATATATTTTTCTAAGATTTCTCTATTTTTTTATGAATATATGCTTTAAATTTTAAGTTATTCTGACTTGTAGAAAAAAAATGAAAAACGAAATACTACCGAACAATGGTGACCACGTGATGAACTATGGACAGTGATGGAGGTAGACGAAATCACTGTTCATTTTCACCTATAGGCGTTGCGTAGTATTTTTCATATATATATAGGGTGTGGTTTGTATAGAGCCTAGGATCTAAATAATCAAATTAGAGATCCTACCTTCAAATAGTGTCAAGAAATGTCATTTTAATGCTGAAAATCTTTTTGATAGACTTAAAATATATTTTTATCGTTAATTATAAAATTTAAAACTTAAAAAATAATGTAAATCACATAGATCTATGAGACATTACATTATATATAATGTAAATCACGTAGATCTATAAGACATTACATTAAAATGCAAATCACGTAGATCTATAAGACATTACATTATATATTATATTATGTTATATATTATATATTTATATTTATACTATTAATATATATTTGTTATCAAACATAGTATCCCGAACTATTTTAACATTCCCAAACATTGTACCCGTAACTTATTTAAACTTTCCAAAACAAAATATTTCACTTCCAGAAGAAATAGAAAAAATTTTCTTTCTGAAAGATTTCTTTCCTCCAAACAAACATGTCCTAAAGGTAGAGAGATGAGAGAACATTGAGAGAGAAAGTATGTGTTGAGAGAGATTGTGAAAGATAAAAAGAAAATCAAGGAAGTAAATAGACCAATCCTTTATCTTATGTCTAGGTGAACATCTGGAGTTTCTTTCTAATTTTAGATAAAGATGACACAATCCTTTATCTTATGTGTATCATTGAATATAATAAATTGCTTCAAAAGAATACAAGTGTAGAGAGAAGAATACCCAAGTAAGAGCAAATTTAAAGAATTTTTTTTAAAATTTTCCAATTGGATCATTCAAGGGAATGAAATATAATTTTTTTTTTATAATATATTAAACTTATGGAGCAGGTGGCTTTGCCTTTCATTATATGTAAATTGTGAAGTAAGGAGATAAAAAATCCAAGAGAAAAAGCGTATCCGATCACCCATATATAGAGAGTAGATTTACATAGGGTTTAACTATAGCCTTTAACATCTTCTGTTGATATTTTTTACTTATTTCATCAATGTATTATTTTATATCTATTGAATATAAACTAATATAATTTTGAATAAAATTTATAATTACTAATGTTTCATTGACATCTAGAGCTGGGAATTTACCTCGACCCAACCTAAGATCCAATGACCAAACCCGGTCCAGCTCTGGGTTTCGGTCCAAATCTTGGACCCAAATAGGAAAGCACTAATAGGTGTACTTTTAAAAGTTTTTTTGAATTTTAATCCCCGCCATACTTTTATGTAATTAAAGTTATATGTTTTTCAATTTTTAATAGTTTTTGGTAATTTTAGGTATATGCTATTAGGTAATTATTTAATTTTTAGCTTACTTTTTAGTTTTGCTATATATAACCTGTTGGGTCTGGGTTTAATGCAAGTATTTTTGAGCTGGGTTGGGGTCCAGACCAACCCGGACCCAACCTCCCAACCCAGTCGAAAATGAGCGTGATTTGGTAACTAACTTTGTTTTTGTTATAAGTACCTTTCAATTAATTGTGAATTTCAAAATTTTCATGAAATTTTTATCAGTGTTTTTAAATTTTTTTTATAAATTTTGTTATTTCTTTTTGTTAATTTTATAAAATTACCTAATTTTTAAAAATACCAAGTTTCTGATATTTAAATTCTGAAATTTTGAATTTAAAAGTTTTAATCTTTGAAACTAATTGTTATTTTTTTATGTTTTTTTACCACTTGAATAAATAGTGACAAATTACTTTATATGAAATACAAATATAGGAAATAGAAAAAAAACAGGACACCAACTTTATTCTTTCTTTCAATTTTTTAAATAATAAAATTTTGAAGTGCTTACTTTTATGCTCAAAAAAAGATTATGGCTATTTTTTTTTTTAGTAATGATCTTATGAGAACCTTCCACACGTATGTGTGTAGGACCCCAAAAGATGACCATTAAATTTTGCACAGACTTCTAGAAAAGTTTTCATATGGGTGTAGGACTTGACTTTTCTAGAGATGTGTGCCAAATTTAATGATGATCATTTGGGGTCATACACACATGGGTGTGGGATGGTCTCATAGGATCATTACTCTTTTTTTTTTATTATTGAAAAATAGTTTTATGGCTAAGTTTCCTATTTTTCATATTTTCTATTTGCATTCTATTTTTGTTTTCCCATATTTTTAAATTTTCCTTTCAAATCATAAGATTTTGTATAAAAAAGGATATTTAAAATCTTTCATATTTTTAATTTATGAATTTTTTATGATTCAATTTTCCATGGCACATTAGCATATTTCTTAAGGATTTTCACATTATAAAATGATATGTTCTTGGCGAATTTATTATTATTATTATTTTACTATAAAGAGTATTTTCCAACTATTTTTTTCATGCAGTAGTTATAAACAAAACAAAAATCAGTATCACATTACATTATTTTCTTAACACAAACAAAAACTTCTATGGCTAGTTTAAAATGTTTGTAACAAATAATAATTGAAAAAAAAATATTTTTGTACTTTTTACTATCTAACATCAAACTATTGCCTAATACATCTCTTAACATGCAATTTGACGTGCACCCCCAAATTTTATCATATGATGTAATTTTGGTGTCAAAAAATCTTTCAATGGCCTAATGATCTATTTTTATATTTAATTATAACTTTATAAACTCCAAAATAGATTCAAATCAAGTAGATCTATAAACACACGAAAATCTTGAAAAGTGATGGTCGATTGCGAGATGTACTATTTTTTATAGAGTAATGATCCTACGGGACCTTCCTCCACCCATGTGTATAAGATCCAAAAGGACCACCATTAAAGTTGGCACAGATCTCTAAAAAAGTTATCACATGAATGTAGGATTTGACTTTTCTATAGATCCGTATGAAATTTAATGGTGATCATTTGAGGTCCCACATACATAGGTGGAGGAGGGTCCTATAGGATCATTTTTCCTTTTTATATTCCAAATCTTTTGTCTGTTTTCAATATTCGTACATCACAATGTCGAGATAATCAATTAGAAGGTTTTCCAGCATCAAAATAGCTTTTTATGATGAATTTTTAAGGTGCACCTTATTTCTATTTTACGGTTTCAACCTTTATAAACAATTTTTTTGTAACATTTGATCATTTTTCGCCAATCAATTTTAAATTTTATGTGCAACACATGTAATTCGACAAGTGGTATACAATCTCTCTAAAGACGCCTACAATAATTCTTGTTTGCATTTGAGAGGGAGATGGTCTGTGTAATTCGACTAGTGGTATACAATCTTTCTAAAGATGACTGCAATAATTCTTGTTTGCATTTGAGAGGGAGATGGTCTGTGTAATTCGACTAGTGGTATACAATCTCTATAAAGATGACTACAATAATTCTTGTTTGCATTAGAGAGGGAGTTGGTCTGTTTAAGTGTTCTATTTCCTAGTCTATCCTCACTTTCTTTGACACATTTGTCATGTCTTTTGTCTCTTTAACCCACTCCAGAAATTGTGTACAGCTAGCCCACGCAAACCAGTGTTATGGAATGTGTTAAATGATTTTGTGCATTTTAAATAAATAAATACAGTCCTGTTTTAGCTTCACATTGTCCATTTCAATGGCAATATTGAGATTTTAATAGCAGAGAAAAAATTATGCAAAATCACATTCAAATTTGGTTTTGAATGGGACAGCTGGGAGCTAAATTCACCAGACAATATATAGACAGGATCATTGCAATCATAGAAGTTCTTCTCTCATGACCCACTTCCAAAATTAAAAAATGAAAGCAATTCCGATATTATTTTTTTTTTTACTTTTTTTATATGAAAAGAAATTCCAGTCTTTCTTAATCCCCAACATCTCATATAGTGGTTGAATGGTTGCAATAATGGAGAAGGGGAAGCAAACTCGGAGACCCCATGTCCTTGTTTTCCCTTACCCAACCCAGGGTCACATTAACCCCATGCTACAATTCGCTAAGTGTCTCACCCGCGAGCTCCTCTCTGTAACATTTGTCACCAGCACCTTTGTCACCCAGTCCCTACGTAATACTTCTAGTGCGAAGCCACTTTTATTGCAGTCGATTCGATTTGAAACAATCTCAGATGGCTTCGACAATGGTCGTTCTAGGAAGGACAGCATCGCTTTCTACTTGGAAAAGTTCAAGATAACAGGGCAGGTGGCTCTCACAGAGCTAATAGCCAGGCTAGTTGCAGAGGGCTACCCTGTCAATTGCATTGTCTATGACCCTTTGCTCCCTTGGATAGCCGATGTTTCGGAGAACCTAGAAATCCCCTCTGCTGCGTTTTTCACCCAGTCCTGTGCAGTGTTTGCCCTCTATTTTCGATATCATGAAGGCTCGCTAAGCATATGCGATGAGAAAGCGGAGACTATGGAGGTGCCAGGGTTGCCTATGCTAGGATTGCAAGATATACCATCATTCCTAGCCCCAAGCAACCCATACCCTGCTCACTTAGATCTCCTACTTAGCCAATTCTCTAACTTAGACAAGGCACAGTATCTATTTGTGAACTCATTTTATGAACTTGAAGAGGAAGCGATTGTCTCCTTGATGGGAAGATGGCCTATCAAGACCATAGGCCCCATGGTGCCATCAGCCTTCACAGATACCATGGATCCAAGTGATAGAAGCTTTGGCCTGAGTCTATGGGAGGAAGAGGAATGCCTAGTATGGCTAGACACCAAACCAATCGGCTCTGTCGTGTATGTCTCATTTGGAAGCCTAGTTGGTTTAGATGAGACGACGATGAGTGAAATTGCATGGGGGTTGTTGCAAAACCAAAAACCATTTCTATGGGTGGTGAGGCCACCAGGGGTTCCACAAGGTTATATGGGCAATGAATTGCCCGTAGGGTTTGTTGATGAGGTCAAGGGGAGAGGGCTGGTGGTGGAGTGGTGTCCCCAATTAGAGGTGCTCTCACATCAATCTGTAGGGTGCTTTGTGACTCACTGTGGGTGGAACTCAACTCTTGAGGGGTTAAGCCTAGGTGTCCCTTTGGTGGCTATACCACAATGGACTGATCAATTGACAAATGCTAAATATGTGGAAGATGTGTGGAGGGTAGGCTTGAGGGCTAGGGTAAATGACATGGGATTTGTAAGTAGAGGGGAGTTGGAAAGGTGCATAAGGGAGATTATGGATGGGGACAGAGGAGTTGAGATCAAGAAGAATGCGGCAAAATGGAAAATTTTGGCAATGATGGCTAGAGAGATTAGTGGAACTTCACATAGAAATATTGAGGACTTTGTTGGGGAACTTCTTCATACTTGAGCTCAAGGCTAGGAGGTCAGGGTAGCTAGGCACTACAATACGACGTGTTGAGTTTCATTCTTACCACGGGTAGAGAATATTTTCCCTATTGATCTACCAAAAAAAAAATGTACTTGAAAATTGAGGGTTGTAAAATGACTTTGATCAGTAATTTCTTATATGCTAATAAAAAAAAGGTAAGGCGCCCCTATCCCCACCGATTTACCAAAACAAAAAAATTCTCATACTTGAGCCTTACATATTCTCTCTTTATAAGTTCCCCAAGTGAACTCAAGCATTCAAAGTTTTTTTTATAAGTTCCCCAAGTGAACTCAAGCATTTAAAGTTTGTTTGGAATCAAAATTTTGATGATAGATCAAAGACTAATTAATTCAGAATTTCTTTTGAGTCAAAATTTTGATGGTAGCTCAAAGAGTGATTAATCATGCATGTGTTGATGCAGTATCCCTCTTGAGAGACCATCCTGGTCATGTCATGGTTGCTGATTTAGGTCCCCTAGGGTTAAGCACATCTAACAAAGCGGAGAAGAGCATATCACTTCAAAGCCTTCACATTATCAAACAGATAATTTGCTCATAACTATAAATATCACTCAGCGGATAGTTGAGTTGCTGAAAGTGTTTAATACTGACTAACCTGAATGCCACTGTTACACTCTCTTTTTGGGGAATCCAATAAGGAGGACTCACTTGCAAAGAGTGTACAAATTCTCTATTTTATGGAGTCTTGTATATGGCACCAGTGTGTACAATTCATTGTATAAACTTCATACATTCAAATCGATTTTCTTTCTAGAGAAGTTGGGAATGAACATATACAAGTAGTGGTTAAAGAAAAGAGATTGTCATTTGGTATAGATCATATCAACTTTTTTAGGAGGTAAAAAATGGTAGTTAAGGTGCACCTTTGAAATCCTCTGAGAAATGTTGTTTTGATGTTGAAAAAACATCTAATTGAACCTATCGACATTAAGGTGTATGGTTAGTAGGGGACCTTTTGAATGGAATCTCATTTAGAGTTTTCCCACAATACAAAGTAGTTGATGTACCTGTGTACCATTAAAGCAATCCATGACCACAAAGTATTTGTCTCCATGTAAAGAGTGTTGTACACCACCTCCACCACAAAAGATCTCATATTTGCAACTCATCAACATAATAATTGATTGAACCAATGATTTAAAAATCCGCGAGTCGAACCGAACTCGTCCGGTTCGATTCGAGAATCGGCACAACCAGTGTCGGTTCCAGCATAAAATCGGGAACTGCCCAATTTTAGAGTAGAACCGCCGGTTCCCACCTGGTTCTGTCCGGTTCTCTCTTGGTTCTAGCAGTTCCCACCCGGTTCTAGCCTCAAAAGCACCTTCACATGTGTGTACGCGTCACGTGTGCAACACGCACCACTCCCACACGTGTGTACGTGTGATACGAGCGGTACACACTCCCACACGTGCCACACACACACTCCCACACATGCCATACGTACGACACGCACATGCACGCATGCCGGTTCTAGCACAAAACCGGGAACCGCCCGGTTCTAGAGCGGAACCGCCGGTTCCCACCCGATTCTGTCCGGCTCCCTCCCAGTTCTAGCCTCAAAAGCACCTTCACACGTGTGTACGCCTCAAGCGTGCGACACACACTACTCCCACACGTGTGTACATGTGACACAAGCGGTACACACTCCCACACGTGCCACACACACTCCCACACATGTCGCACACGTACATGCACGCGTGCCAGTTCCAGCACAAAACTGGGAACCG